ATTTTAGCACTTGTTTGATTTTTAAACTGTTAAGTGTCAACAAGTCGAGGTTTCGTGTTACTGGTTTTTGATAATTTTACATTCAAGATTATGAATTTCCTTAAACAAGCTGTTAATATTTTATCATCTGTACTGGCTTTCCAATAAAATTTGTACACCTAAAACCAACCTGTTAGAAATGACACCCAATTACTGCTTTTTCATACATCATGATAATTAGGTACAGCTGCTTTAAGCAAAATTGCTATCTGTTGAAAACGATTCCCATTCAAATTGTGTAAAATATGAAATAAGATCCAAATCTCTCAGCATATAAAACAATATTGAACCTCCAGTTCAAATATGGCAACAGCTTTATAAGATGAATAATTAAAGAGACAAAAAATTAAACTTTTCACAGCAGTTATCAAATTTTCAGTCTTTAGGAATAAACATGCATTTTGACCTCTATAAGTCTTATTCTAGCAAACTTAAGTATTTCTGGGTAGCACTGTCCAATTATTTTTATTTTGACCTCTATAAGTTTTGTTTCAATAGCAAACTAGTATTCGAATTAATTTTATTTTTGACCTCTATGAGATTTGTTTCAATAGCAAACTAGTATTTCTGGGTAGCTGTCCAAATATTTTTATTTTGACCTTGATAAGTCATATTTTAGCAAACTAGTAGTGCTGGGTAACACTGTTCACTTAATTTTGACTTAAGTTAAGAATTTTGGCCATATTTTACGATATATGCTAAGTCAAATCATTTTCAAAGGCTGCGCATTTTACCATAGAAATGGACAATACTTGTCAACAGAAACCATTGTACATTTCACTATGAAGAAATGGACATTATAATTCATTACTTGTAATCTTGTTACATTGTAAACAATAACATCAAACAGTCATACCTGTCAGTAAATTATTTCAGTAATCTGTCACAGGACAATAAAACTTCTGATTGGTTATCTTATCATAAGCCATGTGACATTCTGTTAGTTAGTCAAAGGTCCAAAAAAAGAGTCCCTAATATTGCAAGGGCTAATTTTTTTCAAATCAGAAAATGTGATGTGAAATTGATGTTTAACAAGTACCCATCTAGGTCATGAGGTCAAGAAGAAGAAGAACCAATTGACTTCCCATGAACAATTTACAGAAGTCAATTCGTCAAAAGATATAAATAAAATTTTACGTTTTGAAAAATGGTCTTAAAGATATTTAGTAAGCATAAGTCTTCAGCAAACATTTTAAGAATTTCTTTCAATATTTTATGATACAATTTAAAGGTCTCTCAGTACTTCATTAGGAGAGAAATAAATAACCCACATTTTTACCACAAAATAAGGTGTTCATAAAAATCTTAATATTCCCTTTGATAAAGATAAGATTCCACAATTATGAAGCATTTGAAGCAGAATACAAATTTCATGCAACAACGATTTTATCTGTTTTTGATTCAGCGCTGCTTATCGCAAGCTTTATGAAGCCATCAACCCATATTAGGTTGAAAGGAATGCACAACCTTGAAAAATTATGGTACACTAGAAGCAATTTAATAATAATGCTGATATCATCATGGATGTCAAATAAAATTTCAACATCTATTTTATTAATCAAGAATATCATTTTTAGTATCACAACTTCATACTCCTTAATGTGTACCTCAAAACAATTTAGTGCAATGATAGTATCATACCAAGTTTGATAGAAATCACATAAATTGATTGATCTGTGTATCCATTGTTCCAATTATTTTTATGTGTGAGCTATTGAGGCACTTGTAGGGTTTGTACAATCATATAAAAAGAGGTACATGTATGTTTCTAAATTTAGAATTATTTACAGTTATATATAAAAGGATTATCTCTGTAAATTTAAAATTTACACCTTTGAGCTAATGTATGAACATTCTTCAAGCTAAAACACCATAGAATCATCTTTAAACTTAGCAAAAATCACCCCTTTTCAGTTTTCTGGCCCCTAAAAAGTCATGATCTTCCAAATCTATCATAAAAGATTTGGTGACAAGTTTGCAGTGAAGCATAGTATGGTTTGAGGGTAGATGACCACTGATTGATACTAAACCTGTCAGATTTACACAAATAGATGTCTTTATTTATTGTACAACAACATGTATTGTCATATTTTTTATTTGCCAAGACATATGTAAATGTTATGGACCCTGATGAAATAATACCTAAATACCTTAGTTCTCAAATGACTTTTTTCTTGACAAAAATTTGTTTACATACTAAAGTTTTAAAATCAGCATTCTTGCTTAATCTTGAAATAACAAAATAATAATCTTTAATCTTTGTGATACTGCTATACATAACATTTTTGCAGGTACTTATAATTCAATGATCAATGCACTTTCTGAAAGAATTTTTGAACCACTCAAAAATTGGACCAATACAAAAACATTTCATTGTTAATGTAATACATTAAATACCACTGAGACAGCAACCTAACAACACATAGGAATAGAATAAACATGAGGACAGTATGTATACCAGATTCTTATAAAGCAAGTGTGCAGTTTAATCCTGAGGCTAGTACATTTCTGCAGAATCTTCTTCATAAAAAGATGCATGAGAATGTACTAACAGAGTTTTTCGAAGTCTTTTGCCATATAGGCATTTAAATACCAAATGAGAACGATTATCATTCTTTTATTACATAATTCATCAGTGATATTTTTTAATTTTTCCAAGAAACAGTATATGCTAGTCTTAAAACAGTTTGCTAAACTGCAAAGTTAGAGAATCAATATTACTGCAAAATCTAAAATTTGAAGAAAAAAAAGATGTTTGTTTTAACACTATATCAATTTCAAAGCTTACAACAGCTGCGTAAATGATCCATAGCTACATGTTTTTTGTCCGTTGCTATCGTAAATATTGCATGAAAATGTGATCAAAGAAAGCCATTTGCATGTAATTCTATTGTTTGCATGGAGCATCAAATGCTTTTTGAAATTCAATTACGAAAATCGTACTTCTGTCTAGTAATCATCATGTTGCTAGCGTAAACTGATAGTAAACATCGTGAGAATTAACAAACGTCATGTTAGGTAATCTCCATTACATTCTCGCAATTACAAGTTATCTATAGTTGACATCAAACGCTTTCACTTAATCGCTTTAATCAGTTTATCTTGTAAGTTAACACATCGTTATGGCACCCGAACAAATGAAAAGGCCTTTTGTCCTTTGAATGCAAAATAAAATGAATTTTGAAAGTTTATATGGTTCACCTTGCATAAAATCTCTGCAATAGGGTTATAGGTTCAAAATGCTATTTCAAGGAAAATTTTAATCAAGGCAAAGTTAAAGTTTCTAGTTTCAAAAATAGATTATTTTTAGTATTTTTTCACACTTCGCTAGACCTTTTCACACAAGTATTATAAATGAGCATTACTAAGGAATCTGTATTTCCTCTTTTATGAAACTTATATAAGGGGTTACAATCTCAACAAGTTCTATAGGAAATATTTAGGACATAAATCATAACATCCTTATATTTAACTCCAAGTTTGGATTTGTTAAAAAAAAAGAATGTATAATAGTTTCCAACCAACAGTGCAATATATGCGTTTGCAAACTTAAACAGGCACAGCTGTTGCCGTAATAATGCATGTATTCTGCATTAAATTGAAATTACATCATGTATTCATTAAGAATTCATTTAGTACTAACAGGTTAATTCAGAGAATAAACTCTTTGAAATATAATTTCAAGTTTCAAATTCTTTAAAATACAATTTCAACTTAATTTCAATGAAATATTTGCTACTTCTCATTCTGAATCAATACACATGAATAGATTCAAAGCCGTCTGCAGCGGTAATCACACATACATAAATATACAAGTACAAAACTTTTTACATTGATTATTTGCTTGGCTGCTGTGTTAAATTTCCAGACAAATTAAAATATTTGTAATGAAAACAATTATTTGACCCTGAAAGCTCTCATTTGTAACAACCAAATTTCAAATATATTTTAAATGAGAGAGATACATTTGAAATATAAATAGAGAAATTAGTAAGCTAAACTTTCTGCTCCTAATTCTCTTTCAAAATGATAAATCAAAATGATGTCCGACAGCAAATATTTTGGTTCATGCATGCATAGCTAAATATGGTGTACTACTTTGTGTAAAGTTTCATTGAAATCCATACAATATTATTATTGGAAAAGTTAAGCTAACAAGATTCAATGACATTTAATTGCCAATCATTCTAGTGAGGATCGAAGGAAGAAATTTCCCCGTAAGAAACCAGCTCATGTAAACATTGACTTTATTGAAAAGTAACATTAAGTAAGCACATGTTATTTGCTGTACTTTATTAACATTCTAACTCAAAAGTCAAAACAAGTAGACTCCATTCAACTAAGACTTATTATTCTGACATAATTTATGCCAACCAAGTATTTGTTCTAATACTGCATGTGGCTGAGCTGACACGCAAAGGAAACCATTATATAAATATTGGGCTAAAAATATCAGACCTATTATAAGCTAAATAATAAGCTGTTTAACTTAAATCATAGGCATTTGACCCTTAAGCATCAGCTTGAGTCTGCAAGTAGGCCTGCTTTTTGCTTTCTACATCAACAGATGTTACATAAGGTTAAATACACTCTTTGCAATACCTTATAAGGCAATTAATTTTCTGAGGTTTAAGGTAAAAGCATCTTAGCATGAAATTTCTCCAGCTATTTTTTAATTAAGGCACTGTTCAGTAGCAATAACTGTCAATTTCAATTAACCACATGGAAATATTTCACCTCTGAACTCAAATAAACGTCAAGAAAGATCATGCACCATTTCAAATCAAGATATGAAATTTACATAACAATAATGACAATCTACATCATTTAGTCTCTGGTGGAGAGTTGTCTCATTGGCAATCATACCACATCTTCTTATTTTTATATACAATGATTAATGAAGTAATTATAATTAATGGACAATCCTTTATATATGATAAAACTATCAAAACATGGCTTACCTCTCGTTTATATTTTTTAAATTCCTTCCCATTTTTGAGTGACCGATAGGCCCATTTCATCATTTTAATGGAAGAAACATATTTTTAAACTCCACACAAAAAATCATCCACATTTCAAATTTTATTTTTGAAATCAAGCACCATATTACTCCATTTTATTTTCCCTGTATTTTTTCAACACAAATTAACGAATTAATCCAATGTTAACCTTTAATTCAAATTAAATTCTATTGTTGAACTTTCATATGTCTATTGTGTTTTATTATAATCCATTTAACATTTGTTCCCTCATAATGGAAAAAAATCCATGATAGATCATTGGTAGATATCAAAAGTTTCTGATATTTTGTTTCAATCTTCCAATTGATTTATCCACTATCTAACAATTATTTCCAACATCATAACTTCAAAGACTTCGAAAAATCCAGGTGTGCTTCACATAGTGTTAAAATTACAGGTAATTTTCTTTTATTTCATTTCATTCAAGAGAAACCCAATAATAACAAATTACATATTTTCCATTAAGTATTATAATAAATTTTGGTTATTATTTTTCCTCTGATTTTTTTCACAATTTTTAATCCTTTTTAGAAGGACACAATATTTTTGCATACACTCGTATTGACTATTCCAAAATAACAATACTATGCACTGTATAAAGACACCAGTCACCTTTAACTATTGATTAATTAGCATAGTACATTCAAACACAGGTAAACCAAACTATAAACGTTAACATATTATTCTTATGGGCCAATCGGTTAAAGTGATGTGTGCAATCAACTGTGATCTGAATGCCGTGTCCAAAATAAAAGGGCCAAGATTTTAATTTTGTTAAGTTTATGTATGAAACGGGATCTTAAGATTTAAAACAAGCGTGCCTAATTGCGATTATTCATATCAAGACAGAGTCAGATTTAAATTTTATCTACATGTTCTACCTAGAGAATTGGGAATTTCAATAGCATGTGATTGGTAATTTAATTCAAAAGAGTCAGAGACAAATAATTTAATCTATTGTGATGGGGATGATTTTTAAATCAGTCAATATGTGAGAAATTATCAAATATATCAATCAATCTATTCTGAAAATCTATGATGTCATGTCAAAACAGAAGAAAATCATTTCTTGTCAGATTTTGACGTTTCTATATTATGATTCATTGAAATAGATCCCTTCAGATTTACAATAAGCTGATCGACAACATAAAAACATGTCTATTATGTAAAATTCCACATCCAAACTTAAATCGTAAACACACGAAGGCTTTATTCAGCCTTAAAATTTATTTGCTATCTTAAATTTTTATGAAAAGATTTTAAATCGTAGGTAAAGATTAGAAATAATTTTAATGCCTTCTTCATACCAAATTTTAGAGAATACAACGAGGATATGATACATATCTAGCCCAATATAAAACGCTATTTATCCTCAATTATATTTACTTTCTTAAAGTAGGGGGATTTGTATCGGGATATTGCCTCAATATAACCATTGACATTTTCAAATAAATGGTTACACGTTTCCAATAAATATTTAAACGTTAATTCCTTAAACCCTCATAAACTCTGAGTAAAAGCTTTCTTTTCTCTAATATTTAAACAAAGTATACCACAACTTTATGAAATTTAGTATTACTAAATTCTCTCAATATATCTTTGATATACACTCTTATAAAATTAATCAATTTTTTTGGTAATTCAGTATGTACGTCACTTTATTTCCGACACAAACAAAATTATTTAAAAAGTGTGCTTCTTCAAAACTTTACTCAAAGGTAAGGTTTGAATAACTGAAGAATTTTTTTTTTAATTTATTATGCAAATTTAAAAAAAGTAGTAATAAAATAATTTAATATTCCACTTTAGCATCCTTGACAATTCGCTTGTTATAGAAGAAATTACAGGTCCCTTTAACAGATTTCCCAGGTGTCTTAATTCTGAAATCGTAACAAATACAAAATGAGACGACATATAAAAACACTGGTAATACAAAACCTGAAAGATCATCTTCAATATATTTTTCTTTATAATTTGTAATGATATAATTTACAAAGTGAAAAATCGTAAAACTTGGGCGGAAATTTTTTTTTAAACAAAGCGATAAAGATAACACACTTATCGTTATACCTTTAGCAAATATGATATGCAAAACAGATGTCTTTTTCTCAGTCAAATGAATGCAAAATGTTTAAAACATACGCTTGAATCAAATTTTATAATTTTTTCTAAAAATTGGTATGAAAATAAATAACACTTAAAAAGTTTTATTGCTTCATTGCTAATTCATCTAACACCAGACAGCTTACAGGCTTTTTATGGTCTTGACAAGTATAATATAGTCATATTCGTGTTCATGAAACAATGCCTCAAGAATATTTCATAATACATTGTTTGTTCACACATGTACGTATTATGTAATTTACAATACTCGTTCCAAATTGACGTCAAAGCTTTTTTTATGTACAAGAACATATTTATTGTTAAATGAAAACACCAAAATGGAACCACAGGCTAAAGCATTTGTCAAAGTACATGGTCAAACATTTGACGACTTGGAACTTGTACTGGACAAGGACTCATATGGTCTGGTGGAATTCCGAATTGGATAGCAGTTAATCAGTTTCATTCATGTACATGGTCGGGTTGTTGTCTCTTTGACACATTCCTCATTTCCATTCACAATTTTACATAAAACTAATTCTCACTTCATAATGTGAAAATCAAAACTGACATCCTATAAAAGATTCTTTTATTTTAGTAGGTACCAATTTTTCAAGGATTGAGGAAGGAAGAATTGTATCTTTGTAGATATTTAGTTTTTGCCACAGTCTGCATGCAAGCCTATAGAAAATGGGCCATTTGTTGAACATTTAAACGGCTTTCCTATTATACCCAAGAAATTCAAAAAAAGAAGATTAGGTATGATTGCTAAAGATGGCAACTATCCATCAGTGACCACATGACCAGGATGTTTAAGCTATCAAACAGCTCCCCACAAAAAAACAGCCCTAGTACATATGCACTTACAATTACATCAACAAAAATCTGTTATGCATTTGATCAAGACAGTAGACATGTCATCAACATCATGTACTCATTTTTTTCTGCAATAATTAATTATGCAAAAAAACTGTCAATAACAACAGTAACTGTCAAGAAAAATACTACACTCCTCCTTAATTTCAGATTCCTTAACGTTTTTTTCAATTTATGTTTATTTTAATGAGATGCAATCTAAATTGATGAGAGTCCATTTATAACAATTAAAATCTAATTATGAATTACCAAAATATAATAATTGATCATGATTGTGTCACTTTCTTAACACCCAGTTGTCAATAGTAAGATATTGCTGAAAACACTGACTTTAAATGAGAGGTGGAAGATACAAAAGGGACAATTACACTCCTAATTCAAAGAAAACTGACAATGCCATTGCAAAACAAAACAACCAAACGACCAAACAAGAAACAACAGTCTAAATAAAAATGGCAACATCAAATACTAGAAGACTGAGCAACAAGAACCCCAGTGGTGATCTCAGGTTCTCTGGAAGGGTAAGCAAATCTTTATTACATAAATCAGGAACATCCTCTTCCAACAAACTATATCCTCAATATCAATTTTGAACACCCCCCCCCCCCCCCCCCCCCTTTCCCACATACACATACAAAAATTTAACCCTACAATGACAGACTCAGTATCAATATTGAACTGCACCAGAAGTACATTATAAAATTTATCCCAGCCCTACAGCTGAAGATGCAATCAGTGTCAACCTGCACCAGGAAATTCATATAAAACTTTACAGCCATTTCATCATAGTAAATTAATCAAGTTTTTATAAATCGTTGATAATCATGCTGAAATTGCCGTGCAGCACAAGGTCGTAAAAGTTTTAATTGTCTGCTGACAATAACGCCTTCAACAAGGAAATAGACATTGCCGTTAAACACAGAGTTAAACATCCTTTCAATGAGAAAGTTAGCACTTTATTTCTTTTGTCGTAATGGTTAATTGGACATGAACAGAATTTCTAAGCCGATCGGAACAATAACACTTTCGGATAACAGCGAAAACCAACAATAAAACAGTTATGTAAAAACCTTTCAGTCTATTTCAGCAATAATTCTTTTGATAATTTACAACTTTTGATATAAACAAGAACATCATAAGGTTAAGTTCACTGTAAACTGAATAAGAAACAGATTTGGATTAGGGGAACATATCAGAATGAAGATGGATTAGGTTCTATTATTTAGACCACCTAACTTTACAACCCCATTAACCTAAAGCTTAAAATGATGGAGGTCTCTATTCAAGTTTACAAATCTCTGTGGTATGGTACAACATTTCTTTGAATAGTTTGTATCAACAATGGGACAATCACTTTCACCGACAGCGGTTTTTTATTTGAGATTGATTCCTTAGGTATTTGTGGTTTATGAACTAGAAATTCGTGGCCTTTCCTAAAACACCAAAGCTTAAAATAGTCCAGCTGCCTTCCTATCTAAGACTGGTAACTGTGAAAAGGAATTAACACTTTTGTGAAATGTGGTTATTTTATAATCATTTCATTAAAAACTCTTTTTAAACTTTTTAAAAATATATTGCCTTTACTATTTATAAAATAAGGTAGTAAGAATTCAGAAAAATCTTTCCGTCAAGAAAAGGACAAAATAGAAAATTCTGTATATAAGATAGCATTTCACTATTATATATATATTGTGTATGATCAGGATGATATCAATCCTAATTAAGACTTTAAGGTTAGAGATGGTATGCTCTGATGGGATTTTCATAGGCAATCTTGGACTATAGACTGTTAAGAAGGTATTCCATCTGAAAAAAAATTACTTTACTTTGTAGGATAAAAATGTGTAAAATAGATAATTGTTTTACAAAAGTATTAAAAGTTGTAAAATATATTAAATTTCCACTCAACAAATATTTATGGACTGAAATACTGGATCTGCCACCGACTCATGTTTACATTACATGCCAAATTCTTTCATCAATACTTATAAAGATCAAGACTTAAATTTCTGTGCCTAGTATACAACATTATCTAGTATAGATTGTCATGCAAGAAAACCACAAAAGCAAGTTCAGAATATCAGTTTTCATTTAGGATATTAAATTTTCATCAGCAAATGATAATTTGAAATGAATGAAGATATCAATTTCCCCAATAATCATTGATTTATTTTTTTCTTCTCAAAAAATAAGAATGTTACTCAGGTATACTATAAATTTGTTTAAAATAACAGTGGAAATTGCTCTTTTATACATAATCTTCCATGTCATGACTGCATGGTCTTTTGTATTTGATTTCACTAAAAGTTCTGATAGAAATTAAAAACAAAAATGCCAATTAAAGTCTGGTAAATGAAAATGACATTTTATAAATTGTGTGCGTCTGGATTTAACTGTCAGCAAGAAGGTTCATTTGAAAACTAATCATGTAGGGACAGATCTATTTGGGACATGTAAAAAAAATATAAAGTTTTTATTGTAAAAGTATAAAAAAGTAAAAAATGTTCCCAATTCTAATATAATCTGGTTTTAAAATACCAAAAAAAAACTGAAGCATGTAAATTGTAGATTGAACACCTCAAATTTTTGACACTATCCAACTAAATATCACCAACATACAACTGTTAATGTTATGCTGCAAGGC